AGAGTGATTTTACAAAATTTGAATAGCCTAACTGAACTCTTTCCAACCTTACTGCTAAGAGAGAGTGGGGATAAAGTTTTTCCACCTTACCTGTTCATTTCCATTTCTCGTAGCTATTACCCAGGGTGCACTTGAACATCACTTCCACTGGATTTTGCTGTGGCAGGGGCTTAACCAGAATCAATTCATTCTGTTTTAGTCACTGGATGGGGACCAATATTATTAGAAAAAAAATGAGATTAAAAAAAAATCCTATCTTGAAGCCTCTGATAAACTTAAAGCACATTTGCATCTTGTTAACTTCTTATCCTTAAGTAAGGCGAGTTTCAGCTAGAGCTCTTCCTTTGCAAGGTAAACAGTTAATTTGGGTGTTCCAGCCTTTCCCATGATTACCAATAATATCTGATAGGTTTATTTTCTTCTATCCTTTTTACCCATATGCCTCTGTTTCCTCGTGTGCAGTGTTTTCATTGTTGCTGTGGGCTCAACTTTAGCCCCTTTCCCAGTTTCTATAAAATCCCATTCACACAAAATTTTAGATTTTAAGATTTGGGAACATAACTTTAAATTTATACATCAGACCCTCTACTCCTTTAAAAAGTCCATTTCAACTCTGTTACTAGAAATTTCCCATTACCCCATCACTGAATGCACACTCGGACTTCTCATTGTCCTATTGACTTGTGTCTCTCCTGTCCTTGCTTGCCCCATCTCTTCTCACTACTGTATCCTCTTCCTCTCAGGAGCAACAATAAATTCCTTTTCGTGCTCTTTTCTTTTTTCTAGAGCTTCTGCTCATACCCATATTTTCATAGTCTCATCTTCTACCCCAAACAGTTTATCTGGGTATTTTTCCAAACAAAGACAGTCTGTTCTCCCTAAGAAGAATCCTGGTATCACTTGTTACTAAATCTCCTCCTCATTTATACTCAACAGTATACACTTACTTGTGTACACTCGACAGCATTTACAAACTGATTTGCAGTCAACTTTTCTTATTGTTTTACATACACTTCCCCATTTATTAATGTAATCTATTTGCTTTGATGCATATTCTCTCAATTATTAGGTATTCAAGTTGTTTCAGATTTATTTTGTTTTGCATTACAAGCAGTGTTGCTATAAACATTGAGTGAAATTGACTTTTGGATTATTTTAAGTGAGCATATATCCATGTGTAGGTTATTGGATGAAAAAGAATAATTTCATAGATCTTATATTTAGTATGCCACTCTCAAAAGTAATTATTCTTCGAAATAATTTTATCAACTTATGAATTTTTCAATATTCTCTTTTGTAATTTTCAATTAGCATTGCAATGAGGTTAGTGATTTCCCCCAGATTTACTTCTCTGGGTCTCTTCTGTATGACTCTTGTCCAGTGAATCTGGGTATTGATTTTGTTTTAACACCTTTATTGAGATAAAGTTCAGATAATTTTTCCATTGAAAGTATACAATTCAATGAATTTTAGTATGTTTAGAGTTGTGCAACTATCACTACAATCAACTTTAGAACAATTCATTATTCTCCCCACCAAAAAACCTTTGCATGTCTAACCTTAATCACTCCCAGCCCTCCTCCGCTCCAGCCTTAGGCAGCCACTAATCTACTTTGTTTCTGTATGTTGGATTATTTTGAACATTTCATATAAATGATATCATACAATATGTGATCCTTACTAACTGGCTTCTTTTACTTAGAATTATATTTTCAAGTTTCACCTATATTGTAGCTTGTCATACTTCAGTCCTGGTTATTGCTGAGTAACGTTCCACCATATGGCTATGTCCCATTGTAGTTTTATCCACTCATCAGTTGATGGGCATGTGAGTTGTCACAACTCTTTTTTTGTTCATTATGAATAATATTGCTATGAATATTCAGTTTTTGTGTGGGCATGCTTCACTTCTCATAGGTATATATGTAAGAATGCAATTGGTGTGTCCTATTATGAATGACTCTGTGTTTAACTGTACAAATAACTACTAGACTGTCTTCCAAAGTGGCTACACCATTTTATATTTCCACCAGTAATGTATTTCTACCAGTAGTAAGAGTTCCATTTTCTTCACATCCTTGTATCATTTTTTTAGAGCTCCCAAAACAAAATACCACAGACTACGTGGCTACCAGGAAATTATTTTTCTCACAGTAGTAGAGGCAGAAGTCCAAGATCAAGGTGTTAGCACTTTTGATTTCTCCCACGATTGGTCTCCTTGGCTTGCAGAGGGATGCTTTCTCCCGTGACCTCCCATGTTTACCATCCCTGCTGTCTCTTCCTCTCAAGGAGACAAGTCATATCGGATTAGGTCTCCATATTTATGAGCTCGTTTAATCTTAATTACTTCTCTAAAGGCCCTATATTCAAACATTAGGGGGTAGAGCTTTAATATATGAATTTGGGGAGACACAATTCAATCTATAATACTTGCCAATGCTTGTTAATATCTTTTATTTTCCCCTTGGGATACTGAGGATTGAACTCAGGGCCTTGAGTTTGCTTGGCAAGCACTCTATGGCTTGAGCTATGCCATTAGCCCTTTGCGTTTTACTTGTTTTTAGGATAGGGTCTTGTGTTAACTTTGCCCCAGCTGGCCTCAAACTGTGATGCTCCTAACTTTGCCTCTTGAGTAACTGGGATTATAGGCAAGTACCACTATGCCCATCTATCTTTTTTAAATTGTATATGCTATATATAACATAGTGTTAACTTTTGTATATATATTATATATATTATACATATAAAATACTTTTTATTATCTCCATCTTAGTGAGGGTGAATAATAAAACATTTTGGGTTGGTTTGCATTTGCTTGATGGCTACTGTGTTAGTTTTTGTGGCTACAGTATTAGTTTTTTTGTCACTGTGACAAAATCCTGACATGAACAATTTAAAGAGGGAAGGATTTATTTTGGCTCACAGTTTTAGAAGTTTCATTTCATGGTCACCTGGCTCCATGTGCTTGGGCAGCACATCCTGGCAGTGGGAGCATGTGGCAGGGGAGGTTCTTCACCTCATGGTGGCTGGAAAGTAGAGAGAGGGATCATGAAAGGGTTAGGGCAAGATGTCCTTCAAAGACATGCCCCCAGTGACCCGTTCCTCCAGCCAGGCCCCACTTTCAATAGATCTACCACCTCCCAATAATCTATTAAAACTGAACCCGTTAATGGATTAATCAGTTGGTGAAGGCAGAGACCTCATGGTCCTATCACTTCCCAAAGGCCCCACCTCTCACACTGCTTTCATTGGGCACCAAACCTTCAATACATGAATCCCTTTAGGAGACACTTCCTACCCAAACCACAACAGCTGCCAACATTAAGCATCTTTTTGAGTGCTTATTGGTATTTGTTATATCATCTTTGGAGAATTATCTATTCCTATCCTTTGCCCTGATTTATTTGTTTGTTGTAACATATTAGTCCTATTGTATATTATTTGCATTATTGCTTAACTATATAGTAACAAAACATGCTAGAAGCAACCATGGAAGAATTTTTCTAAATCTTGGGGGATAGAAACAGCCTTTGTAAGAAAGATTAAGAACAAAAACTCTAAAAATATTTATAAACCAATTAATTTGACTGTGAAAATAAAAAGTAATTCATTACAAACATACAGTAAACAAAGCCAACACAAGGTGGGTAAAAGGTAAATAATTTATTCACAGTGTACTAATTTGCATATATAAAAATATTCCATAATTTAAAAAGCAACAGAAAAATAGACAAAGGTAATAAGCAGATAGTTCATAGGAAATTTTAAAGTAAATTTGATAAATACTGTGTTGATAAATTGTCTGTTGCTGTGACAAAATACCTGAGGAAAAATATCAACTTAAAGAAGGAAAGGTTTATTTCAGCTCATGATTTCAGTCCATGGTCGCTTGGCCAGGTGTCTTTTGGACCTATGATGAGGCATTCCATCATGGTAGACATGGTTGATGAAAGCTGTTCACCTCAGGGCAGCTGGGATGCAAAGAGAAGAGTGTCAGGGTACCAATGCACCCTTTGAAGACACACCCCAGTGACCTACTTCCTCCAACTAGATCCTACCTCCTGAAGTTTCCACCTTTTAACAGTGCCTTTAGATGGGGATCAACCCTTCAACACATGAGATTTGGGGTATATTTACATCCAAATCATAATGCTGTGAGAACATAAACTGAAATGGCTATACTGACAACAATTTGGAGCATTTGTCAGAATTTTTAAAGTCCCTACCTTAAAATCCAGCATTCACCTCCCCCCCCCCCCGCCCTGTACTTAAACATATATTTGCTCACCTGCCAAGTAGCTCAATAAGAATACTGACTGTAGTGTTTGCAATAGCAAAAGATGAGGAACCAGTTGAAATAATTTGATGAAACACTATGCAGTCAGTATAGCCGTTGAAAACGTATGGATACTTTTTTTTTGCCTTAAATACATTTTTGGCAAGATTGAAAATTTTAATCATGTCACATATGAGCTATCTATAAGAGAAGAAAGAAGACAAGGAAGTCAATTAATGCCAACAGAATTCCAGAGTAACAAGCCTATTAAATCTCTGCGGCAGAAATGTCACCCCCAGTCATATCACATCATGACTTCTGGGGGCTCCCCCAGATCCTCGCTCATCCATTCACTGACTGCAGAGCCTGGAAAGTGGGGGCTGGTGGGTGGCCCTCAGTAGGTGTTCTGTAAACACTGGACAAAGCAATATTTATCTAAAAAAGGAAAGACCCCGCAAAATCGGAAGCGTATTCCTGGAGTCGGGGACTGTTACAGATTTTTTAATTTGTGGACTTTGCTTCCCCAACCCAGTCAGCTCCGGAAGGGCGGGAGTAGAGGACAGCTGAGCCTAAGACGTCGCTAGGCTGCCCAGCAACATGGGCGTCCCGGCTTGCTCCGCCCCGCCCCCGCCTTCCCGCGCTCCTCGCTCATTGGTTAGCCTCCGCGGTGGGCGTGCTCCGCCGAGCGGAGCCCTGCGCCTGGGGCCAGTGCGGCGGCGTGCGAGGCGCGCGGGGTATTGCGCGGGAGCTGCGCGCGCGCCACCGGCGATGCCCGGGGACTGCGTTCCTGAGGGGACTGCCACCCGGCCGGCAGCCAAGGCCGCGGCGCCTAGCGGGGTTCCCGCGACCGCCGGGGCGCCGCAGGTTTCGGACCCGCTGAAGCGGTGAGCGCTTCCTTTGCCCCTAGTACTCCCCGCCCTTGCTTGAGCTCTGGGGCAGTTGGCTGGCGGGGGGAGGGGGGAAGCAGGAAGGGGCGGGCCGGCAGGGTGCCACGCACTGGTGTCTCCGTGTCGCGACTGTCACTCCTTAGGCTGCCTGTCTTTAACGCTTAGCGAGTTGCGTGTGCGGATGTGCCAGTAGGTCAGCTAGCCTCTGCTGACCCCTGGCCGGCACGCTCCGAAGCACTGGCCCTTGGCTTCGCGGGCCGGGCAACTCTTCCTGAGAGTCAGGATGGGCTCCGTGCACGCGCAGCGCAGGGCACAAGGTCTGGGGGAGACCCGGGTTAAGTGAGTGAGCTCACACTGCAGGCTACCTGGAAAAACCGCTTGAGAGTCGCAGCATAAGCTTCTGGGTCAGCCAGATAGCTTGGATGTGCTCGTGCTTTAAAAAAACAAAACAGTAACAACAGAAACACTCTTTTTAAAATTACATCGTAGAATTGCGTAATTGGCTCTGTCTCATCCAAGAATAGTCATTTGAATGCAGAATTGACTCCTCTTAAACAGTAAGTTTGGAGCTTTCTGATTTAGTAGCAATGGATGGCTTTCTTTAAGTTTCTCGGATAAGAAAGAGTAATGGAAGGAGTGAATTTGATCAGAATACATTTTGTGTATTCCATTATATTATGGAAATATAACAGTGAAACCCCTTTGTACAATTAATATATATTGAATTAAAAACTTTCTGGAGACTGGAGATGTAGCTCAGTGGTAGGTAGAACGCTTGCTTAGCATGAGAAAGTCCTTGGGTTCAATCCCCAGCATCTCAAAAAAAATTTTTTTTTCTAGAGAACAGAAAAATAAAAGAAGCCATGCATAGTGTTTTAAATAATCTATCTTGAAGGATTATTTTTGTTTTGCCTCTGCTTAGGTGTGCTTTCATTCTCAGCTGCATACCGAGGTTCCGCCCCTGCCCTCGCCTCCTTCCCATCCATGTAGTGGAGGGAAAATCGGCCACACCTGACAGCCCAGCTCAGTTGCGGTCTTAGGGCTGACCCCCAGCGCAGGAGAGGCTATCCTGCGGGCCAGGCTGCTTTTTTTTTTTTTTTTCAGCGATTTGCGTGTTCCCAGAGTCACAAGAAACACTGCTTACATCCTCGCCTTGGGGGCACTTTTGTAGCAGCATCAGCTCTTTTTTTTACTCTTCTAAGCCCGAGTCGCTTCAGGTTCTCTGGGTAGAGCTGGCAGAACTGACACTCAGTAATTAAGTGAATTGCTCTTACTGCAACTGGGTACCAGTACTGTACTTACCCTTCCCGAATCTTGGGAGATTTTGTGTGAGTGGGTGACGAGAATGGAGAGAATGATAGACATTTTGGAGAAATGGAACTCTAGTGTTATGTCATCTTTCTTGGCTCTCGTTTCTTGGGCCACGTTCTGGTGACACAGTTTAATCCTGCGTTGCCCTTTCCCAGGCTTCTAGGTGGGTTGAAAAGGAGTATCTATTTCTTACTCCTAAGGATTAGAGAAATAGATTGCTGACTCGATTTTTTTTTTTGAGTTCTGTAAAGTGCCAAAAAGTGCGTCTCTTCCCTCTGATGTCTTCAGAGGAACAGAACATTATAGATTAAAAAAAAAATGAGGGCGTATTGGAGATTGTAGAATACTGTAATTATTGTTCTTACTAGGAGAGTGGAAGGTACAAATGCTAGTCTGTTTTATTCAGTAATTAGGAAAAGCTTAAGAACTTTGAGTGCACCCTTCAAAATTACCAGTGCTGCAAGGAATTTACTTGCAAAATCAAAATGCACACCAAATTAATTTTTATTTTCTTTTAATCTTCTTTTTGCATATACTTAAAGGACTTATGTGTTGTTTTGCTGTCCCTGGTTGTCAGGATTTTTAAGTGTTAAGGGAAGTTATAAAATGCAGTCTTTCCTGGCCTTTTGCTGCAGGGGATGGTTTATATGGCAAGGAAAGCTTAGTAAGGATTTATGAGAATAGAATAGTTTGAAGAATATGTTGAAGATTGCTTTTTAAAAATAACATGCACTGTGATTTGTAGAATTGTAGAGAATGCTGTATCTTATCTAAAACAATTTTTGATGTCAGGATAATCATTCAAATGTAACATTTGTACTTTTGTTTACTAAGTGGTAAGTTTTGAGCCCTTATTTCATGGTAATGAATCATCTTTCATTAAATAAATATCACAAAATACAGATAAACAAAAAAATAGTATTTTCAATCATCAATTTTGAAGAATTAGTTTTTTTCAATTGTTTTATGCTGCTTTCACCCACATGCCCAGGTTCCAAATTTGGAATGATGCTAATAGTGTTGAATTTGTAATTTGGGGGGTGAGTAGGTGGGAAGAATTGTAGGTTGTATTGAATTTTAATCTTGGGAGTGGTGTCAGTAAAGGGGAATGTACCGAGAGTCACCCCCAAGTTCAGTAATTCACTAGGAGGTCTTATAGGACTGCACATATGCTTCTACTCATAGCTGATATTTATAGGCAAAAGGATACAGAGCAAACCTGGCAAAGGGAAAATGTGCATGGGGTGAAGTGTGGAGGAAAGGAGGTAAATACAAACTTCTAAGAGTCCTTGTCCCGTTGAGTTCCACAGGATGTACTCAATAGCTGTGACCATACGTGTGAAATGTTGTTACCTTTCAGGGAAAAGCACTAGACGCTCAAAGCCTAAGGTTTTTATTGGAGGCTGGTCATATAGGCACCTTTTGTCTACCATGTACCAGAATTCCAGACTCCCAGAAGGAAGGCAGGTGTTCACCATAAACCACATTGTTTGTACAAACAATGTTTAGGTGCAGGGCCCACTCTTATCAGTTAGGGAATGGTGGGAACCTTCCTGAAAATCAGAGTCCTAGATTCTAGCCAGAGCTGACCGTGCAAGCAGGCCTTTCAAAGGTTAGCAATGTCAGGTCTGTTATGTGAACTCTTATGCACTGGGAACAAAGGTTCTTCACTTTGTTATATAGACTTTCAGTTCATCTTATTTTCTGTCTCTTGCCTTATCATTGCCTTCTACTGTTAACCTGAAGGTCAGAGCCTTTCTCATGCTGCTGCACTGACAAAATCACCTGGCTGCAAAAGGGCAGGAGAGTGGCCCTGGGAAAGGGTATATCCAAACATGATTAAATGAACAGTTCTCAAAGTAAAAGAGAACAGAACAAGAAACTGAAGTGATTTCAACGAACTTTTAGGATACTGAATATAATTTTAGGACAGTGATTCCTGACGTGTGGTCCCTGGTGCAGCAGCAACAGTTTCCATCAACTGGAAATGTAAGGAAAATGCAGATTTGTGGCCCTCACTCCAGACCTACTGATCAGAAACTCTAAGGGTGGTGCCCAGAAATCTGTTTTAACAAGATTTCCAGATGCTTATTCTCATGTGTATTCATGATTGAGCAGTACTTCCTTAGCAGAATGGAGAATCCCTTGAAAAACCAGCTCACCGATACTGTCTTCCCTTCAGCCATGCTCAGTAGTTATAGGCACCGTGTGCCAAGAAAGGTGGAATGAGAGGTGATTCTGAAAGCAGGGGTGTCTCATCATTTTGAGGTAACTACCATTAACATTCTGGTTGTCATCCTTTCGAGCATCTCTTTATGTTTATTTACATGCATATGTTTAATTTTATGCATTTGTGAGATCATATTGCCACTTTTCCACTATTATTTAGAAAATAATTTTGTTTGTGTAATCAAAGTCATGCAGATAAAACCTTACATACTTAATACTCTACATTAACTCTGTACAAATGGTAAAAAAGTTAAGTTTAACATTTCTAGAACAATATTGCTACTAATTTCTGTACAATGCTGGCTTAACATGGTAAACTGGGACACTTTTTTTTCCAAAGTTGAAAGCACAACTAAAGTTTCCAAAAATTCAAATTATATATGTATACATATGTTTTATATTTATATAAAAAGACTTAATAGCAGTATGCTATGTGTTAATAGCAGCAACAGCTTTTCCATGTTCTGCAGTCATCTGAACAAATACAGAGACACCCTTAATTAAAAAAAAAGAGAAAAAGTAAAAACCCAAACCCTAGAAAGCAGCAAAGTTCTATTACTGCTGTAGTACTGGCACCACTTGAAAATTAGCTTCTCAATCATCATCTAGAAAGAAAACATTCTAGAGTAACATCATTAAAAAAGCTTAGATAAACTGTGGTCACTACTATGTATCATATGGCAGGCACAAAATATTTTACATTCACAGAAGTATGATACAGTACTGTCCTACAATTATAATCCTAGAGGATAAATTAAAAGGCATTATTTGACACTTGAGTCTACTTTTGCAACAGAGGGCCCAAAGGATGATATAGCACAGCTCTGTAAAGAGATACGCTTTCTTAGGTTGCGTGCAGTTGCTTATAATCCTAGCTGCTCAGGAGGTGGAGATTGGTCTCCATGGTCTGAGACTAGCCCAGGTAAAAAGTTAGTGAGACCCCCCCCCATCTCAACCAATATCTGGGTGTGGTGATGTGTAACTGTGGTCCCATCTATGCAGGAAGCATAAATACTAGGATCACAATCCAGGCTGGCCGAGTGAAAGACTTGAGACCCTGTTTGAAAAGTAATTAAAGCAAAGAGGGCTGAGGGCATTGCTCAAGTGGTAGAGCACCTGCTTAGCAAGCATGTGGCCCTGAGTTCAAATTCTAGTATTGACGAAAGGAAGGAAATAAAGGCATTTTCTTAGATATGATTTTTTTTGTTTTGAAAGAAAGCTTTCTTCTGGCTATTTCACCCAGTGAATAATATACAAATTATCATTTTATATGTGATCAACCATGAGTTAAATACATGTTTTGTATACTTTAATTACAATTATTCTGTCAAATAAAAGTGAGTCCATATAACTTTACAGTTGGTATTATTAATATTCTTTTGTGAATACTTTGACTTCTCAAAGTATTCTTCTTACATACCAAGGTATGTACAAGACAGATGAGTATCATGAAAATCAACATATACAGAATGAAGGATTTGTTCATGTGTTAAGTGGAAAGGTCAAAGACTTAGAATCCAGGAAACCAATGCATATAGTTCTTTGCTTTAACATTTCCGTCTCATCCAAATGCAACTCCAGTGGATTCTTACAATGTATAGGGAAATGATAGGGGTTTAGAAAAAGAGGACCAGAATAAACCCAATTTTTTTAAAACAGTAAAGCTTAAAGTTAAACTTGAGGCTCAGCTCCACTAACTTCTCATTTACACTTAAATGAATGTATACATAAATGCCCCACAAAAGGAAGTGATTTCAGTTTGGTTTTTCTACTTCTTTGGTGGATGAAAATGCCCAATTATGAAAGGAGGATATCCCTCATTTCAGGAGAGAGGGAAGATTTTTAACAGATACTGACAATACCCACCAGAGTTTCTTAGTCAATTGAATGAAAAACTGCAACCATACAACCTCTAAAGTTCATCTTTATGTTCTGCAAGCCAAGTAAGCTGCTTTATTAAGGCCATTTGTCACTGACGCTGGAGCTGATTTACACAGTGCTGCAAGCCTCCTGGCCTCTTCAGACAATAGTATTTGCTCCACACAGACCTTGGTCAGCTAAACACACCTGAGTGTAATTCTGGGAGTTTTCTCCTGTGTCCATATACTGCCATCTCCGTTGCATTACCTTGAGTTCACTTAGGAACACTTAACTCTTGTTCAGAGCTTGAGCTGTACAACACTTACATGTTGTCTCATTAAAGCTATAGAGCTACCATATATGAGTGTCATTTTCCCCATTCTCCAGAAGAGGAAGCTATCAGAGGGAAAGGATTTGCTCCTCCGCAGTAAGCACACTTATCAGCAATCCAATCCATGTCCATCTGAATTCACAACACAGAATAGTCTAGTCCAGGATCCTGCCCACATGGGAAACAATTGTGACCATGCTTTGCTTCTTTGTAGAGTAAGCAGCAGCTAATCACATATCTGTAAAACTGCTTTTCACAGAACTGGCAGGATTTTGTTTTCTTGTTTTATTATTTGCAGAGTGTTTTAATTGATTGCTTATTTGAGAGAATAACAAGGATGTGGGGTATGTTTTTGTTTTCGCTTTCATTCTCTGGCTTTTAGTACACAATGACAACCATCTTTCCGTTTGTTCCTTTTTAAATGATTTAAAAATAAAGAGATTTTACTACTTTTCTCAAATTGCTGTTTGTTAGCAATGAAGTCATAGGCTGTGAAGGATTCACCCTTAATTTTATGCTGTTTAACTCATTTGTGTTCACTATCATCAAAAATGCTGTTCTCTAGCATATTTGTTTCAGCAGTGAAGCTCAGTCAGCCTCTGAAAAAAGGCCCATCCCCAACATGTAGCTCTTCGCTTATGCGCAGATGATTTACATTTGACCATGAGACCATACCTGTCAGAAATCGAGGGCAAATAATGGGACACATTAGTTTCTTTTTCTCGGATAGGTATGATTCTGGTTAGTTCTCCATTTTCTTTTTAAATGGTTTTTATTATATTTTGAATTTTTTATGATTTGAATTGTTTGTTTAATAATACAGGTGAGTTTCATTGTGGTAACTCGTACATGTGTACAGAGTTCTTTGAACAAGTTCATCCCTTCCATTTTCCCATTCCCCCTTTGCCTCTCCCCTTTTCATATAGTTTTTGGAGGGTTTAATTGTGCTGTCTTAGAACATATCTGTGCAGCATATTTTGATCCTATTCCCCGCTCTGTATCCTTTCCTTTCCACATCCCTCTTCTTGTTGATCTACCCTCCCATTCGTCCCCCTTTCACATTCATGTACCTTTATCATCATCATTTTAGGTCTAGGTTCCCTTGTGAGTAAGAACATGTGATATTTGACTTTTTGAGTTTGGCTTATCCCATCAACATGATCTCCATATCCTGCAAATGACATAGTTTCATTTTTCTTTATGGCTGAATAATATTCCATGGCATATGTATGTATGTATGTATATGTGTGCATGAATATACCATGTTCTGTATCCGTTCATCAGTAGTGGGGCATCTCAGCTGATTCCAGAGTTCGATTATTGTGAAGACAGCTGCAATAAACATGGGCGTGCAGTTATCTCCTTTGTATATTGATTTACACTCCTTTGGATATATGCCTAAGAGTCGTATGATGAGGTCATATTGTAGGTCTGTTTTTAGTTTTTGATGAACCTCCATAATGATTTCCACAGAGGTTGGACCAGTGTACATTCTTACCACAGTGCATGAAGGTTCCTTTTTCCACCGTATCCTTGCCAGCATTTGTTTTTTGTTTTTTAGATGATTGCCAAGCTGACTGGGATAAGATGGAATCTTAGTGTAGTTTTGATTTGCATTTCCTTTATGGATAAGGATGTTAAACATTGCTTCATGTATTTATCAGCAATTTGAATTTCTTCTTTTAAAAACTGTTCAATTTACTTGCCCATTCATTAATTGGATTATTTGGGTGTTTTGGTGTTTAGGGGTTTTTTTTTTTGGCAGTACTGGGGTTTGAACTCAGGACCTCACAATTGGTAGGCAGGCACTCTACTACTTGAGCCACTGTACCAACCATTTTCTGTGATGGGTTTTTTTTGAGATAGGGTCTCACGAACTATTTGCCTGGGCTGACTTCTAATCATATCCTCCTGATCTCTGCCTCCTGAGTAGCTAGGATTATAGGTGTGAGCCACTGATAACCTGGCTGCTGATAAGTTTTATGAGCTCTTTATATATTCTGTATATTAATCCTTTATCTGTTGAGTAAGTAGCTGGCAAATATTTTCTCCCATTTTATGGGCTGTCTCTTGATTCTGGTAACTTTCTTTTGATATGTTGTTAATTTTAAGCACTCTCGTTTGTCAATTCTTGTTCTTATTTCCTGGGCAATTGGTGTCCTATTCAGGAAATAATTACATAGGTATGTATCTTCCAGAGTTTTCCCTATATTTCCTGTAGTAATTTCAGCATTTCAGGACTTATGTTAAGGTCTTTGATCCTTTTGGAGTTGATTTTTGTACAGGGTGAGAGATAGGAGTCTAGTTTCAGTCTTTTGCATGTAGAGAAACAGTTTTCCAAACACCATTTATTGAAGAGGCTGTCTTTTCTCCATTGTGTGCTTTTGGCTCCTTTGTCAAAGATGAGGTGGTTGTAGCTATGTGGTTATTTCTGGGCCTTCTGTTCTGTTCCATTGGTTTTCATGTCTGTTTTGTGCCAGTACCATGCTGTTTTTGTTACTATATTTCTGTAGTATAATTTGAAGTTTGGTATTTTGATACCACTAGCATTTTTCTTTTTGTTTAGGACTACTTTTGCTATTTAGAGTCTTCATTTGAATTTTAGGGTTAATTTTTCTATTTCTGCAGAGAATGACATGTGAATTTTGATGTACATGAAGGGCGGACTGCAGAAGGTCCATATGCTCTGAAAAGGTGATAATTAGCCAGGGAGACACTTCTCCTCCCCAGGAAATGTCTGTACCAGAGAGACATCTCTTCCCTTGGCAATAAAAAAACGCTATAAAACCCAATTTCCAACCTGACCCATGGGACCACTGGTTTCCAGGTTCCGCTGTATGCCCCCAGGCAGCCTTTCCCATCTCTTTTCTACAAATAAAATCTTTCTGACCTTTGCTGCTCGATCGAGTCTGCCTTTGATTTCTTTGTCAGAGCTGACCAACAACCCTTAACATCCGAAAATTCCTGCTTATCATCTGTGTATCAGACATTGCATTGAATCTGTAGGTTGCTTTTGGTTTGGTTTGGAGGTCTTCCCATCTTCTGGTGTCTTCTTCAATTCACTTTTTCAAAACTTTTTTTGCGGTACTGGGGCTTGAACTCAGGGGCCTACACCTGGAGCTTCTATGCTAGCCCTTTTTGTGAAGGATTTTTTCGAGATAGGCTCTCACACTCCATTTGCTTGGTCTGGGCTTGAGCAGTGATCTTCCTGATCTCTGCCTCCTGAGTGGCTAGGATTATAGGTGTGAGCCACCAGTGCCCAGCTTCAATTTACTTTTTTTTTTTGTGTGGGTAGTGTTTGATTTATTCATTAAAAAAAAAAGCAATTCTCATATACAAAACAAGATGGATTTTGTCTTCAAGGGTTAAAAGCACTCTTTAAAAAATTAAAGTAGGGAGCACTGGTCACACAGAGCGGTCTCTCACAGAAGCACGGAAGTGAACGAATGTGCCACACATTTGTCGAAACGGCTGAGGACAGCACAGGACTGTGGTGTGCACTCCTCACAGCTCCGACCGCAGATGCGCACTGTGGATATGGGGGACACACGTCTGCATTTGGGCACAGAAGTGAACTACTATTAAGATCCAGGTGCACAAGGTGTAGGAAATTCCATGTTATAGTACCAACAAAAGTCAGCTACAGTAGACTCTGTGTCACAGCTAAACCAGAATGCTGAGTTGCAAAACTTGGAGTGACTGGGAGACAGTCACAATACAGACGTTTTGACCCTCCATGTCCATCACGGCTCTGTCCCCACAGTAGCCACGGGCATGATGCCAAGGCAGTATCACCTGGCCCCACTGCAAGGACCAGAGGCTACTGCCTGCAACCAAGCGGAGGCGCCAGCAAGGCCCCTGGTTCTGCCCCAAGAGGCAGGCCACAGAAGGCCATGCGGAGGGCTGGCTTGGTTGGTCATGCCTGACCAGGTCCTGCAGGGCAGGTGTGAGAAAGGCCTGTCCTACTGCTGGGTTTGCCATCATGGGTGACCAAGGTGTGTTTGTGGACGAAACCACCCTCATGGCTGCACTATGCATATGCACAAATCAAGAACAGGATGGCAAAAAACACAGGAGATGTCACCTTTTAGAAGATCAGTGAACTCTCACACAAAGAAGGTTGCTTAGATCTTAGAAATGTCTAGAGACCAGACAGGACTGGACCCTGAATGACCGCTCAGGGCTAAGCTGGACTTTCACACTTGCCAGGGGTGACCAACCAGCTGGCCATTGTGTTTTTCTAATCGCAGGCTGTGACTACAGTCCTCAGAAGATGCAGGGATGTGGGGTCCTTTGTAAAATGGGCTGTCCCAGCGGCGTCCCGACACACCTGGGCATCTTCATGCTTCTGGGGGAGGGCAGCTGCCGCCTCCTCCAGGCCTCACCGTCTATAACACTAAGTGGCCAGAGGACCGGCCTGAGTCTTTGACCCTAGCTGGGAAAGAAAGAACCAAATGTTCGCTAATCTGCTGGTATGCAGACCACAGAAAACTGTAGTTAGGAACACCCTACAAAATCCAATGACAGTATTTTCCAAAAATATTTTTTACAGCACTTTAAATACTTTACAAAAGCTACAAAAACCGTATTTACCAGGACACATCTGTTAAATAAAAACGTTGCTTCATATATACAGGGTATGCAGAAGGGACCTGGTTTTTGCTCTTTAACCAGTATCCTCCATTGACATGCAGACAGGTGGAAAAATGCAGTCATGTGCACACATACACTGCTTCCCACGGATGCATCAAGGACCAGGACACCTGTCACAACTTGAGGACTTTGCCTTTCACCACTGCGCTGCCACCACTGTCCTCCACAGAGGTGTTGCTAAATTCACTGGCGTCACTATCCAAAGCCTCTTGGTCCTGGTCGTCTCTTTCCATGGTGCTATGTTGATACCTCAGGTCCAGGATGTTTTCCTCAGAACCCTAGCTCCTTCTATTGTGCAGACCGAGACCCCCCTGTGTCTTCTTGTTTGGCCAGTGCCCACTGTCCTTCCTCATGAGCACATCTGGGCTTCCAAACACAGGGCTGTGGCCAGCCTGGGTCTCCCTGAAGGCCGAGAAGGCTGGGCCCTGCAGGCCGAGAAGGCTGGGCCCTGCAGAGGCAGGCCTAGGTGGGGACTAAAGAAGCCAGCCTGCTCACCTCCCCCCATGAAGCATTCTTTCCAAAGTGGAACAACTGGGTGGAGAGCAGGGGTGAGAAGCCTGAGAAGGGCAGGTTCTTCCTGGGGCCCGCAGTAAGGCTGGGCAGGACCCTGGCCCGTCCCTCAGAACCCTGCTCTCTCTCGTCCCCAAGACCCCCTGTCCACACCGAGCCTAGACCTTCTGAGTTCAGTGCCCATGGGGTGGGCAGCCTGCTCTGGTGCGCAAAATTGCTCCAGGGTAGGGTGAGGTCAGAAAGGTCCGGCTCCCATAGTTCACCTGAAAGATCCCCCCAGCACCTCCAGCCTCGGTGCCCACTTTGGCACAGTTGGGCAGTTGGCCAAAGCACTTTGTGCAGTGGCACGCTCGGCACCTCGCGGGCTCTGGTCTTTGTGAATGTAAATATTTTTCCTACTTGCTGGAGAAGCTTTGGCAGAGATGTTTCCACTGGTGCTCTTGGGTAGTGCTGGTTCACATCTGCCCAGAGCAGCTGGGAGGCGGGTGATGTGCTCGGGGTGGGGGGCGCCCTTTCCGCCCTGGGCAGACAGGCTGGCTGTGTCCTGTTGCCCAGTTCTCTCTGTGCCCCATGCTCCTTCAGTCAGCTGAGGGACCCCCCTGGTCCTCTGGCTCCGTGTGTACACACCGGACCGCAGTACTGGCTCTTTCTTGCCCAGCACCTCTGGCCTAGCTGGAGCTCCTGGTCCGAGAGCAGTGGGATCCCCTGTTTGAACTTCTGAACTGCTCACAGATTCCTTGGCCTTTTCTGCCAAAAACTTCCTGATCTTCAGTTCAGTGCTGGAGATCACTGTCCACTGAGCTGTCCTCAGACAGGGAGCTGAGGTTGGGGGCTGAAGGTGGCTGGCTGCAGGCTCCTGTGTCCTTGGAGAACAGTGTCTCTTTGGGGGCTTTCCTCTTTGACTGGAAAGCTTGGGGTGCATCTTCGCCCCCTGGTTTCGTTCTCTCTGCTATGTTGTTGAAGATGCCTGGTGGTTTTCTTCCCGGGCCAACCCTGCTATTGCTTCTGGACTTGGATAGGCAGCTCCTCAGCACTGGTGGGCCTCGATCAACCCAGTCTCTTGGGAGGCTGCCAAGTCTGCCCACGAACCGTGTCTCAGTGGTGCTAAACCTGACTTTCTTCTTGCCTGCAGCCCGAGGGTCCCTGCACCTCTTTTTGACCTTTTGCTTGGATCTCAACAAGTCCTTGATGGCCATGTCCAGGTCCTTGTCACTGTCCAGAGAGCTTTCTTTTTCGCCAACACTCCGACCCTTGTCTGGCTTCCCAAGGTCCCCATGGGCGTCACTGAGTCCAACTGTCCTGGTGAGGACAGGCTGGTTCCTGGCCTCCTCCTCCCTTCCTGGGACTTTGCTACCTTTTCCCTGGTTAGGTGAGTCCCTTATGTTCTTAGCTGTGTGTGTGTATCTATTCTTTTCTTCATTCTCATATAATTTTATACAGATACATACGCATGGATTTTGCTCTTGTTTTGGTGGTGCTAGGGATAGAACCCAAGGTCCTTGTTAGTTAGACAACCACTTCCACCGAGCCATACACCAGCCTGCCCTTTTCTCTTTTGTAATAAGTCATCTAATCTGATTTTTACTTCATTTTTTTCAAAAGAAATCTTCTAAAAATTTTAAGTGTTTAGAATTAGAATTTTGTTAAATCATTGTCTTTTGGTTTTAAAATTTATCATAGAGTTGTGTAGTCTTTTTTTGACATCACCTTTCTTATTTCTGATCCTGTGAATTTTTGTTCAGCCTTTGCTCTGCTACTCCATTCTGCCCAAATCAGAGTTTATCTGTTCCATCATTCTTTCAAAGAACATGCTTTTGGATTTATATATCCTTGCTATTATCTTAAAAACTTTACTCTTAAGTTTATATTGTTAGTTCCCTCTTCATATTGTCTTTTGGTTTTCATCCTTTTCCTTACTATGAATAGCACTACTTTTACACATTTTTGAGAGATAATAATTGTACATCTTTATGGGATACAGTGTGATGTTTTGGTACATTTATACACTGTGGATTGATCAACTCAGGGTACTTAAGATTATCCATCATCTCATACATCTACCATGTTTTGTGATGAGAACATTCAAAATCCTCAGTTCTAGTCATTTTAAATTATGTGACTTAGTATTGTTGACTATAATTACCCTTGTGTAATAGAACACTATTTAGAACACTGTCTAGGTCTATTTGCAATCGAACTCTGTAATAGAACACATTCCTCTTTTCTTACTGTGACTTTTTACCTCTTAAGTCAATCTTTCCTCATCACCGTATCTCTTCCCCTCCACAGCTTCTGATAAGCATTGTTCTGCTTTCCAGTTCTGTGAGCTCAGATATTTTAGATTCCATATATGAGGGAAAATGCATAAACCCATTCTCTAAAATGCCCTTTGAGGACTGTTTTAGCTTCTAGGACCTTATCTCATTAATGTGAAATTTCCTCCTTTTCATTGCCTTCTAAATAGTTTGTAATTTCAGTCTGATTTCTTCTATTTTTCCCCTCTTTCTTATTAGTGTATATTAGTTGTGTCAAAAGGCTTCATGCATGTATATAATATACTTTGATCAAATTCACTGTCTCTATTCTGATTTCTTTGAGCCAAAGATTATTTAGTAGTATATTTGTTAGCTTCCAAGTACTTACAATTTTTGTAAAACTTTGTTATTATTTGGAATTTTATTGAATTATTAGAGGGTGTAACATGAAAAATTCCTACTTTAAAATTTTTTGATCTGTTGCTTGAAAATCTTTGTTCTGTAAGTTTTTCACTTTTCATGAGGAGAAAGATAGCATGACTAATTTCTTCATTCATAAACAGAAAATGTGCTATGTATTATAAGTTATGATATGAACTAGGTACAGAAATAGAACAGTCTTTCATCCTCAGAGTTTCTTTGTTTATTATTATTACTTTTTCTTCTATAGGCTTAGTTTTCTATTTTGAACTCTTTTTTATTAAAACAAGGACTGTTTGGATGACAAAAAGTTTAGAGGTGAGGCGATTAAAAGAGAAAAAGAAGGAACAAAAAAAAGAATTTTTAGAAGCAACTGTTCTAGGCAGTTAACCTAGACTTGGTCAGAGGATAGGTCTTATTGCATGAAAGGCTGCTGTTTGCTTTTATAGTATTTCTAAGAATATATGTGGATGTTGGTAGGACTTAATGACTGATGTTGAGAGGAAATAGAAGACATCCCAAAGTAATGGGCTGTGAATCATTAGTTTGTCCTTCACACATTTTTTCCCCAGTGCTGGGGATTGAACCCAGGGCATTATGCATGCTAGGCAAATGCTCTTCCATGAGATAACATCCCCAGTCATTTTACACTGCTTTGAATTGGCTGGCAACACTTTAAAATACAGCTACACACACACAAATCTGCATTTCCGGTATTTAAAGGTGGAGCTCAGGGAATGCTGAGACTGCATTAACTCATGGCAGCTGGAGCTGGGAGCATCTGTCCCTGTGCCCCCTCCCCGGTCCACTTTTTTGGGAACCCATTGACTCCTGTGTTCTATGCAAGCACTCTGCCACTGAGTTAACCCCTCCTCCAGCCCATACTTGTCCCTTCCCTCATGTCACCAATGTGTAGGGTGTCAGTAGTCATTTATCCTTTATTCTTGTGCTGCTGTTTTTCCACTGTAGCTTTAAGAAAGTAGGATAGTGCTGGGCATGGTGAGTCATGCCTGTAATCCCACTTGGAAGACTGATGCAATAGGAGCCTGAGTTCCAGCCAACCTGGGCTATATAGTGAGACCCTGTTTCTACAAGAAAAAAAAAAAGTATGTTTGGGGTCCATTTTTCTCTCAAGTGTAAGGGGGAATAAAGGCCCTTTCATTCTTAAAAAGTAGGGGGGAAGAGGAGGAGGAGAGAGAGAGTGAGAGAGAGTGAGTGTGAGTGTGTGTGTGTGTGTGTGTGTGTGTGTGTGTCAGTGAAGAATACTCCTATATTTTAATATGTGAAGTCTGTCAAAAAAAGATGGCATTTAAAAACCAGTGAATTAAGATGTCATTCAAAAATCAACCATACCTACTACAGTAGTTCCCCCATATCCATAGAGGACATTTTTCTAAGACTCCCAATAGATGATTGAAACTGCAGATAGTACTGAACCTTATGTTCAAATACTGTGATACCACCAGTCGATTTGACAACCAAGATGACTAATTTATAAACAGGCGGGTGACATATATAGTGTGGATACATTTGATAAAGAGACAATTCACATCTTAAGGCAGAACAGAGCAGGGAAGTGAAAGATTTCATTATGTTATTCAGAATGGTATGCAGTTTAAAACCTACCAATTGTTTATTTATAGAATTTTTCATTCAATATATTTGTACTGTGGTTGACCACTGGTAGAAAGCAAAACCCAAATAAGGGGGGACCGTTGTACAGAAAAGAGTAAGAGTTTGTTTTTGAATGAGAATTAAATAAGAGCTATCACTATGATATATAGTTAGTTATTTGGTAAAAAAAAAAAAAAAAAAATCCTGCAGCCAGGTGCTTGGTGGCTCCCACCTATAATATAGCTACTTGGGAGGCTGAGATCAGGAGGATGGCAGTTTGAGTCCAGCCCCAGCAAATAGTTCTCAAGATCCCTATCTCCAAAATAATCAGAACAAAATGGACTGGAGGTGTGACTGACTCATCCACACCTCCAGTGCCTGCTTTGCAAATGCAGCTCTGAGTTCAAATTCCAGTCCCTCAAAAATAAAATCCTGAACATTAATACCTTATGTAAATGGTAAGTTCCTAAAGCAGTACCTTTTTTAAAGCAAAACTTACATTTCTCAAAACAATAAACATATAAACAAATATATAATTATATATAAATACTTTTTAGCATATTGAAGATATGACAAATTTAAAAGGCAAGTCACATAAATTTAAATTATAGCAGTTTCAATTTAAGCTCATGAAAACACATTTAGATAATATCACATAGCAATATTTGTGTTATTTGAAATCTTTAACTGGTCAAAGAACCTTGGGGTTTATTACCCATAAAATGGTCAATATCAGAACTCATATATGTGTTTCAGAAAAGTCTCAAAATTTAATGAAAATATGTAAAATTTTATTAGCTGAATATATGGATATTCCTGGCATAATAAATAGTTGGGGTTAACATTGGACATCTTGGCGACAGCACATTGAAAGGAAATAGACATAAACTTAATCTGTTTAAATCTGTAAAATCTGCAGATTTTACTAGGAATAATTTTAGGCCCAAAGCTTAAAAGTACAACCAATCTAGTAATTACTAATTTTTATTTTTTAGTTTCAGATTTATAATCTCAATAATACTCAGGTTATGTTACATACCCAAGCCATAGTTCATTAACAATAATGTTTGATTCTATTTCTGACATTTCAGTTTTCTTTTATCTTATCACTTTAGTTATTTATGTTATCACCTTGGCCTCTACAGATATTTGTGAGTGTGACCCTTGTCATTGGTGGGAGGTAAAATCTTATCTACATCCTTGGAGAAGATTCCTATCAAAATATAGTGATCACATTATTTTAATTAATCTTATATTTTTGCTGCTTAGACACTAAACGTATTTTTGTGGTGGTTTGTTTCATGGTGGTAGTTTTAGGAAATAAATATGGAAAATGCCTACTTATTTATTTCAGCACTATAAGTACAGAGATAGCTCATTATCATATACCATGATTTTTTTCCCCTTCACCCTTCTCTTCACCCCCTGAAGAGTCTTTAGTGAGAATTTCCTTGTAATGCTTCAGGGCAAACAATTAAAAAATAACACCTATAAAATTGATAGAATCTGAGAATCCATTCAAACTTTGTTTAGAGATGTCATCTGTTTAGATATTAAGAGTTCAGGTAAGGCACCAGAGTCTGTAAGTTTCTGTTGTTGCATCATTGAAATTCTGGGTTTTGAGGCAGATGTCTACACCCTGTGAGAAGCTGCCTTGTCTCCCTTTCCCTGGCAGTGCTACCCTCACCCTGGCCCAGATGCAGCCTTCTCAATTGCTTGCTGTGTGTTGCTTTTTCATGAAATTATAAACCTGAAAGACTCTAGTAAAGCTTTTGACCACAGAGAGAAAAACATTTTTTCTGAAATTCTCAAACTAGCTCAAGGAAACAGAAAAAGAGGAGGACAATGGAAAGTATTTTTCTACATCTTAAATAATTTATTTATTACTGTTATTTTTGCAGTACTGGAGATTAAACTAGGCAAGTGCTCTACCACTTCAGCCATGCTCCCAGCCCTTAAATAACTTGTAGATGAATTATCACTGTTAATGTATTCACCTTTCTCCATGCTCCCGTTTGATCTTTCTTTGGCCTGGTGCAAGTTGTATTTCTGAATACTCTCTTTAGTGGTTCTCAAACATCTGGCAACTTGTTAGAGATTCCACATCATGGGCCATATCCTAAGACCTGCTGGAAGACAAACTATGTTGGAGAGTATGGTAGGCTTGTATTTTAACAAGCCTTGGGGTGATTCTAGTGTTTGCTGAAGTTTGAGCACCACTGCTCTATGAAACTTGAATTGTGCCTATGTT